GGCCAGGCAGTAGTTGCAGCTGTGGTCCTGACGACCGACAGGGACTGGAGTCTGAGCCACAGCATCCATCTCATAGTTGATTTCAATACATGTTAAATGAAGCGGGGGTGGGAGAAACCTTGTCATCATGACTCAAGTAAATACTGTACATACTTTTCACAACTTTTCAATTCTTACCACAGCTTCTGAAGTGGATATAGATTGCTGAATCTCAGTCCTGGGAATTCTCTCACATAGCATATGCAACTTTAATTTTTCAAATAATACCTATGTTACCAAAAATATATATGATATTGAAGCATATAAGTGTTTGAAAATTGAAATATAATAGAACATTACTATTGTATAAAGATGGCTTTATAAATCAATTGAAATCTTATAGCAAAAACAGAAATAGCACAAAAAGGGGAAATTGAATTGCTTGATCTTTATAAAGTATTATCTTTTCTCAAGAGCAATAAGGCATTTTCTTTAAAAGATGCTTAAAATAGATTTTGCTGTGCTTGCAGGAAACCTGACAAGAGACCTTCCACTATCATCATAAAAAGTGACACAACCAATACAGTCAGAACTAGTAAGCACAACTGCTTTATAATTTATCTCTGCTGACGATAATTTATAGAGTTAATAACAAAGAAAAGTAGCAATCTAAATAATACCTCTCTGAGTTGACAACTGCTGGTCAAAAGGAATTGCTGCCCAGCAGCTTGATGGGCTTGCTGCTCAAGCTCTTTCAATTGCAACTATAAAATTGAGATATCATCATTAAACTATATGCACTCCCTTTGTTCAACGTACAGCTATTTTCTAATTTAACAAGCATGTAGAACTTTTTTCTTTCTTGTAAATTGATCAAGTATAACCACTGTTAATTATACTGAATTTAATGTGCTCTTTTTATATATTAATAAATTAATGATCTGGAAAGGGGAATAGGTAGTGACAGAGAAAAACATGTAAATTACTTGGACTAGTCAGGACCAGCAAGGAGAAAAAAAGTAAACAAGTTATATTAGGATACATGAAAATGCAAAGGGTAATAATACAGAAAGTCATAAATATTGTCAAAATGAATTAATTGTACGACCTCATCTAAAATACTGTGTTGCAGTACTATCCACTCAGTCTCAAAATAGCATAATGCAAAATGGGAGGATGTTCAGAGGGGAAAATACAATGATCAGTGATTAAAAAAAGCTTTCACAAACTGAAAAATAAAACTGAATTTTTTACTTTAAACAGGATGATAGAAATATATAAAATAACAACTAGCATAAAGAAGGGAGCTCAAGAACATATGTTCTCCATGGCTCAGAACAGAAGAACAGAAGACGTTCAATGAAATCATAAAGACAGAGCATTCGGATCTTTTTCACATAACACGTGGCATGATTAGACTGTGGAATTCTTTGCCAGCCATCTTCCCATTAATCACAAATAAGCAACGTCTCTTGTACATGGAATTTGGAGAAAGATTTATGCTTTTTCTGGAAACTTCAGCACTAAAGGCCCACTCTTCAACTCAAGACCACCAGAATAGCTGTTCTAAAAAACATTCCAGCAACTAATCATGAGCATTAAAAACAATGAATTGAAGTTATAGTGCTAATCTCCTGGAAATTAAAAGTTTAACATCTCTTTAGAGAAAATTGCAGTTTCTGTTCCAGTCATTTACCAGACCCTCAGGATGGGTTAAATAAGGACAGAAACCAATAGAAAGAAAGCTACCAGATCAGAACTTTCTCATTCTGTAGCACAGCTTGTAACCATTTATCAAAAGCGGGGGCCAGCAAGCAATGATCCACAGGAGTGGAGATGAAAGGATTAGGTGAAATTTTAAGTATTCCTGCTACAGAATAGGAAGAAATAAAAGTTACCATCATAAAAATGAGATGCTTTGCTAATTAACAAACTATTTGGGAAGCAGTCAAAATATGTTCCTACCAAAGGACACTTTTGCAGAGGAAGCCTTCATCAGATGAACTCAGATTTTCTTCTGAGAAAGCTGTGACAGACTTTGAAGAGAGAGCCTCTCCCTACACCCACCACCAGCCATCTCTCCATCCCACTACAGCCTCTGCTCAGCCCACTAGCAGCAGCCGTGGCGGCAGCTCTGGTCCAGGACCCAACTGGAGCAGCCACTGCCACAACGGCTCTCCTCCATCCAGGACATTAAGTTCATTGTTACAGCGAAAGTTTGACCTGATTGTTTTGAAAGAGATATGAACACTCATGGTTCAACCCATAAGAAACTTCTTATGGAAAATTGGAGGAAAGTCCCTGTAGGTACATTTTTCTATAACTTGTCACTTGAGGGCTTCTTGCAGCTGGTCCCAGCCATTGTCATAGCCAGGATGCTGGACTTTATTTATTGGTCTGATTCTGAGACCAATCTTGTATTTTTGTTCCGACTGCACTGGTGGAGTGGTCTTCCAAACTAGTGCTCCGTTCTGCAAGGCTTGCTTCCTCCAAGAGAGCCTAGAGCAGGGGTGGGGCAAACTAGCAAATTCGGACAGCGGCCAGATTCCATTTCCCAGCAGCCCCTGCTTGCATCACTCCATCCAGTCTCCATGGAGACCCCAGGAGTGGCAGGGTTGTGACAGCATGGGGCCAGGATCTCCATGGAGATGAGCCCAAACAGCACTAACAGGGCACATGGCTAGGCAGGGAGCTGTTCCAGGGCTGGGATTTTTGTGGCTCTGCTCTGGCCCATGCTGTCACCACTGCAAAATCCCAGCCGCGGTCCCATTGCACCTCCCCGCCCAGTTCCGCACCCCCCCAGCACTGCTCAGGCCAGTCTCCATGGAGACCCAGGAAGCACAGAGCTATCATGGCCCCGCTGCTCCTGGGAACCATGGAGACCCACCAGTGACAGAGGCAGGGGAAATGAAGTCCACATCA